CAGGGGAGGAGCTGGGTACCACTTTCAGGCAGGAATTCACCAAAATGTCAAGATGGAGGTCAGGGGGCCAGTGTCGGGATGGAAGTGCAGTCAGAAGAGCAGGAGAGACGGCGCCAGCTCCTGCCCCGGAGCGGACGGGAAGGCGTTTGGGCAGCAACACGGCTGTAAACTCACTGTGCAAATATTTATGAGCATCCACTCTGTCCAGGGACCGTTGTAAGCCTAAGGATACAGCAGCAAATGAAACCAAATCCCCTTGCGTGGCGTTTACATTTCAATGGAAGAAGAAAGACAATAAACAGACACAGAAATATGCAATGTGCAGGTGTGGGTGAACGGGAAGGAGAAAAGGGACGAGGATGCGTTTTTGCGCAGGTCATCGGGAAGGCCTCTGGGGCAGGTGGCACGTGACCGAGACCGGAATGAGGGCCTCAGGGAGCCGTCCAGCGGAGGGAGCCAGACGTGCAGAAGCCTTGATGGCTCAGCGCGCCCGGTGTGTGTGAGAACGCGCAGGGAGGCCTGTGTGGCTGGAGCAGGAAAGGGCCGGGGGACTTGGCGGGTGAGGTCAGGAGGTGGTGGGGGTCAGATCGTCCAGGGCTCTGGGCGTGGTGCAGAGACCCCGGAGGGCTTGGGAAGCGAGGGAGCTCAGTGTGGCTGGAGCCCAGGGCCTTGCTGGGTGAGAGCTGGGGCTGGGGTGGAAGGAACAGGAGGCTCAGAGCCGGTGGCTCTAAACGCACACGTGTCCCAGTTGGAGCCAAATGGCAGACGTTGGGCTGGCCCAGAGAGGAGCCGGATGCTGCCCACACCATCCCGATTTCTCTCTCTGCGTTTCCTCTCCCACCTCTTCTCCCTTTTCAAGGGAGAGGGAAGCGGGGCGAGGCAGGGGCAGGTCCTTTTACTCCTTTGTGTTTTTCTTCTTTCCCGTCACCGTCACGGGTAGGACAAGTCTTCACACCACGGCCCTAACTCTGGTGCCTCTGATAAGCCTCACCATCTGCAGCTCCATCTAGATCTTGCCAAACTTCAGTCTGACAAATGATAAGAAACTTGGAGACATACCTCTGGTGGGTGTGAGCTCTGTGCCAGATTTGCTGCTTCCCTGCTTTCCACGCTGGGTCCATCTGGGTTACTTTGGGTTTTAAAAAAGCGCATCGCCTCATGTGCTCCCAGAAGAGGTGAATCAGGGTTTGGCAGCAGACGAGGTACCGAGGGGTTTTTTTTGGCCACGGGCACAAGCGCTCTCTGTGGCTGGGGCCCTGTGCTTTTAGACAAAGTGGTGGAGCTGAGGGTGGACGTGCACGAGCGGTTTCGCTCCAGCTCATGCTCTCCCGGCTCTTCCTTGCTTGGTCTTCCTGGTTTTGAATATTAAGCTCGTTTCAGCCAATGCTCTCTAGTCGGTGGAAGTGGGAGATGTGTATACAGTTCAGCACAGGGCCTTGCAAACATCCAGTTCACATTTGTTCAATTACCATATTATTGTAATCTTTATTACATTGAATGTAATCATTGTTGCATTCAGGATAGGCCCCGAGGAGGTGTGTGTTTGTCAACATATAACAAGGCTTCCTCAGAGTGTGGCTTTTTTCCAGGCAGGTGAAAAGAAGATGGATTCACTCATTCATTTACTCAAGCACATGCTTACTGAGCATGTACACTCTGCCAGAGGCTGTTCTAGACCTTGGCGTGAAGCAGTGAACAGAGCCCCGCTCTCAGGGAGCACACTTGCCAGAGGGAGAGACAGACAGTAAAGACGAGCATGAAGTTCGTTGGTGAGAAGTACCCTGCAGATGCGTGCTGCGGGTGGGATCAGGAAAGGCCTTTTGGATCAGATGACATCTGGGCCAAGACCTGCGGGAAGTGAGGGCAGAGCCAGTAGGCGTCTGGGGAAGAAGTTTCCAGACAGAAGGAACAGCAAATGCAAAGGCCTTGAGGCAGGAGATGCCTGGCTGGCACCCACGAGAAGCAGAGAGACCGTTTCGTGGCCCGAAGGCAATGAGCCAGCAGGCGGCTGGGGGGATGGAGAGCCGGCAGGAGCCGGTCTGCGGGGCTCTGGCCTTTGACCTGGAGGGGACGAGAGCGACTGGAGGGCGTGCGCAGCCTTAGCTACACAGAACCCTGGCTGCTGTTGGAACCTCAGCTGTGGGGTCGGGCGTGGACACTGGGGGCCCAAGTGGGAAGCCGTCGCACCAGCCCAGCCAGTAGGGTGTGAGGCGGAGAGACTGGGCTGGGTTCTGGAAACGTTCTGAAGCTAGGGCCGCTGGGCTCTCAGGCTGGCCCGGACGTGGGATGTGAGTGAAGAATCTGGCGGGAAGGCCCGGCCACGGTGGGATGGGGCGGAGCTGGGTCTCTGCTGGCCTCTAGAGCTGGACGTCCTGACTGGGGCTCCGAGAAGGAGCCAGGGCTGGAGACAGACACTGAGAGGCATCAGCTGCTCATTAAGGCTACAGGCCTGGGCCACCCAGGACGGAGTGTGCTTAGACGAGCCAGGAGACCCGAGACCCGAGTCCGCAGGTGCCCAGAGCTCAGAGGCCGGGAGATGAGGAGGGACCGGCAGGGACCAGGCCAAGCCCGAGCCAGAAAGCCGAGGAGAACCCGGGGCGGGAGTGTCGAAGCCCGGGGGGAGGCCTACGTCCAGGAAGAAGGGGCGGTGAGCTGGGAGGAGGGCTGCTGCGGAGACAGCAGGATGGGCGCCCAGGAGCCACTGGGCCTGGCAAGGTGGCCCTGACAAGGCCACAGTTTCTGTGCAGTGGCGTGGACAGAACTGATCGGGTGTGTGGGGAGATAGGCTGGAGACAGGGCGCACAGACAGCTTTCGAGGGGGGATTTCTGCAAAAGGGAAGGAGTGGCTGGGGGCAGGGGCGAGGCGGGGCGAGGAGGGAGGGCTCACCTCTCAGATGGTTCGTCATCGTGGACACGAGCTCAGAGCTGGGCACAGCGGGGCACAAGCAGTTCCTGATGGGCGCGAGAGCGGCGGCGGCCCGGCGCAGGACCGGAGGCCAGTGGCCGGGTGGCCGGGTGTGGAGGCACACAGGCTGGGCGTGTCGGCGAGCACGGGGCCTTGCCGTCCAGTTGCTTCTGGTTTCTCTGCAAGTGAGGAGGAAGGTTATCAGCGGAGAGGAAGGAGGCTGGGTGGGAAGGGAGGCGGAGAGCGGAGAAGGTGGGAAAGGTGCCCGGTGGCGGGTGAGCGGACCGCCCAGGCGAGCATCACCACGCGCGCCTGCTGGCAGGGTTGATGGTCTTGAGTGAGGGGACCCAGGTGAGTGCTCGATGGCCCGTCCTCTCCGGCCGCGTCAGGCGCTTGGAAGAGGCGGTGAGTTGGATCTGACCAGGGTTAGGGTCTAGCCAAGACTGGGGAGGCAGGAGGAGGGAGGTGGCGGTCAAGCACACAGGCACTGGGTCACTGTAAAGATGGGCCGTGGGGAGGCGTGCGGAGGAGAGGGACCAGCAGGCGGGGTCCCGGAGGGGAGAAAGGTGTTGGGGTTCGGGCTGAAAGACGGGGTCGTTGGATGTGGGACTTCGTTTTGGAGAGCGGCAGTTAGTGGTGACGAGGCGTGAGTTTGAGCAGGCAGGTGACCTCTGGACGGGAGGAGGACAGGAGCTGAGTCAGAGGCCGGCTAACGTCCCCGGGGGCCCGGGGGGCGGAGGCAGGAGGGCCGCAGATGACCCAGCCAGGAGGAGCTGGGGCAGAGGCCAGCTCAGTGTTTCCTCCTGCGTGATCCCTAAGACGGCCACCCTGGGAGGGGGCTGGCAGCTCCTTCAGGTCAGAGACAGTGTAGGGACCTGTCAGAGGAGGCATTGAGGAAACTAGGAAAAAGCCTGTTCATCTTAGAGTCTTCCCTAAACTCCTTCCTTAAGGAGCACTAATTTCCCTCCGAGTCTGGGCTGGACTTGGATGTGATCTAGTACAGGATGCAGAGTCAGACCTTCCAGGATCCGGCCATACCAGACATTCATCACCCTTCATCCACAACCCCCTTCACGCCCAGCTGTACTCAGTGCCTTCCTGTCTTGTCCTGCCCCGGCCCCCTCCTGGCTCAGATGCCACCTCCTGCAGGAAGCCTCCCAGGTGGCTCTGCTGGAAGTGTTGTTCTCTTGTGTGAAGACCCACAGCTCCTCGCTTGTCTGTCTCTGGTGTTTGGCTCTTGTTCCCATGGTTCCGATCTTGGTGAATATTTATGAATATTTATTTACATGCCTTATCTGTTCTGCGGGAGGTGCAGTTTGGGGGTGGACTTGAGTTTGAACCCCAGCATCATCATCGTCTAACCAGGTGATGACGGGCAACTCCTGTGGCCTCCCCCACCCTCGGTTTTATCTAAAAGTGGGGAAACGGTACGTCCTTCGTGTGGCTCGGGAGAGTGCAGTCACAGGGCTCTGTGCTTGGCACGGGTGAGCCCTGGCGGATGTTTCTCTCCTTTACGTAGAAGTGGCTCAGGGCAGGCACACGGCCCCGCGTCTCCACGGGACCTAACCAAGTGCCTTTCAGGTCTCTGTGCCCAATAAATGTGCCTTTGCTGAATTTGGGAAAGGTCGCTGCAAAGCTTTTCTGTAATATCTTTCAAAAATTCAGAGGGGTTGGAATATACACTCATAGTTTTCAGCTCCTAGTAAAAATGGTTTGCATGTGGCTGTGAAAAATAAGAATTGTCCAGGTCCAGCTATGCCAGAATTACGGTTTTAAAGTATCAATTAACAAAAAAGATTTTTCATATGGCTCTAAAATGCAATGAATTGTGTATGAGACTTACTGCTTTACAACAGAAAAAGTTCCTTTTTTTAAACTTACTAAGACCATTTACAGAGAAAATTGCTTTGAAAACATTCAAGAAATGTAGTGTCCCTTTTTCCATAGATACGTCATTTTGCAATACCTACGACTGTGAGTCTTTGAAAACATTTTATTTTACAAGAAGTATTTAAACACGTTCACTTTTATTATTACCATCTTGATTTTTAATGCTGGATCTTTTGACTTTTCCTAAATCTCTTTTTATACACAGATTTTCAAAAACATTAAAACTGTTATCAAAGCCCTTAAGCTCATTGATGTTAACAAGACGGGTCTGGTCCAACCACATGCGCTGAGGAGGGTTCTGGAGACCTTCTGTTTGAAGATGAAAGATGATGAATACAAAAAGTAAGTAAACGAAGGTATGGTGAGAGATTGCTCAGTAGGACTTTCAGCCAATTTCAAAATGGGACCTGTTGGGTTCACTGGATCCAGGCAGCGTCCTTCCCTCCTGCCTTCTCTGTCTTGACTGTTTTTAAAAGAGGTCCTCAATCTGCATTTCTCCCATGTTCATGAAGCTCTCCACGAATTCTCCAAAGTGAGAGCTAACGGTTCTAATTCCTCCAGTCCCCGCGGGTGAGAGTCATCTGGCCTGCAGCTTTGAACGCATCTCGACGATCTAAGTCATCCATCGCCAGTGGTCTCTCTTTGCCTGCCTGGGACCTCGCCCACCACCCCATGGGTTTCCAGTTCACAGTTGACTTTTACTCAAAGCCCGGGGTTAGGAGAAGAATGAAAAATTTCAGGATTTATTTGTTGGTTGATGTGCTCCCTATTGGCTCTCCATCCTGACATAATAACAGAAGCTTCATTTTCCTTTGAGGACTTTGTTGCTGAGTTTGGGGTGGGCATTGCAGCAGGGGGACGTTAGCTGCTTCTTGGCGTTGGAAAGCCGCCACCTGCCCCTGACGCGAGGGCGGTGTGGGGAAGCCTGCACAGACTTTTTTTTGAGCCTCCAATAAACTCCAGGTCGTTCAGAAAAGCCAAATGCTTGGATTCTGTGGCTACTTGAGTATTGAATGGAAGCCACTGGAAGGGGGGGGGGCTGTGTTTAGCTTAATTTATATAGTGCCCAGCCAAGAGGCCCTCGTCTTCCCGCCTTTCCCCACTTTTCTGAATATCCTCTGGGCCATTAACAAAAGTACCAAGCCTGATGATTTCACCCCGAGCCTCAGAGTTTCGCATCACACCGCAGTTATAAATCGCCACTGACATGGGTCTTTGTGGTTGCGTCCATAGTGTTATAAAGACGACGTTGCCTCTGTTAGTGGAAGAATCTGCTTCTGGAGCAAAAACAAGTCTAGAGGGCAGGTGCCAACCTCACAGGCACTGCAGGGTCTGAAAAACAAGGAGACTTTTAAAATATGGATATTTCCCAGTATTTTGAATATTTTCTTCCTCTTTTTTTTTTTTTTTTTCTCCTTATAACCCACCTCAGAATATAAAAGACATAATAGATGTTTTAATTTTTACATCTTTCCGACTGGGAAAATGTCCAGAATAAGATCCAAACAAAACAAATTAAATAATTCTGTGCACGCGATTATAGAACAGAAGCAGCGCTCTTCTAAAACGAGCAATCAAAAAGCAAAACAGTGTTTTATTTGACAATAAACCTTGTGTTTGGCACTAGTTTCCAATCTAGTAAATCTATAAAAAAATGTTACTGTCTGTTTCCCCATCTCACAAGTATTGAATAGTAAAGAACTCCACAAATTTTTATTCGAGATATTTTTTTAAGCCTTAAAAACAATACTGTCTGCATGATAAGGCTTGAGGAACTTAACGCAATAGAATTGCTTTCCTTCAGAATAGAAAAGCAGAAGGTCAAAAGTAACCATTTCTTCGGTTGCTGTAATGCTTTTCTTATGGAAGCTCAAGAATATACTCTTTCCTTGAGTAGCTGCTTCAGTATTAACTTTGTCTTTTTAGTGTTTGAGCAGGAAACACAATGCAGTTTTGAATCCTTTTTTTTATCTAACAGCTTTCTATTTAATATCAGCCTTCGGCGTGCAGCGAGGTAGGAGTGGCCTGGGCTTTGAAGCCAGGCGCGCTTGGGGTCAGGTCTGTGTCTGCCCTCCCTAGTTGCGGGGCCTCTGGAAGCTCCTGGGCCTCTCTCAGACTCGGCTCTCTCTTAAAGAAATGGGGACTGAGGAGCCCACCTTGCAAGGCTGGCGTGAAGATTCTGCGCCTGCAATGTACCTGACATGCAGTAGGTGCTCGTTTCACATCGATGCTATCGTAATCGTAAAGATTCCACGAGTGTCCTTTCCTCTTGGAGAAACAGTTCTCTTCAGGCTGCAGAATGCCATGCAGCCTATGGAAGCAAGGAGCAGGGGAGGAGATTATCTCCAAGTTCCATACTTAGCCAGCGTCCCGAGACCTGCCGGGGTTTGTTCTTCCTTTTCCATCTCACGCCATCCTACTTTCCTCTCCATTGCCCTGCAGGATAAAGTATTTGAATCCGGGTAAAATAATTTATGAGCGACCTTGAAAAACAAAGAAACAAACAAACGCACTAGAATTCAGCCTGCTGCCTGGGCAGATGAATGAAGCCCAAGGCACTGTTCTGGGTGGTGATGCTGGAGAGGTTTGTGGGTCAGTTGGCCTCATTCCCTTTGCATCTGAAGTCAGCTTTCCCATGTCACCGTCCTGCCCTGGGTGTCTGCACATGTGTGAGTTCTCCTGCCCACACTTCAGGTCCCTGGGGAAATGGCCTTGGTTGCTGTGTCTTAAGAATGGTTCTGTCTCCCATGCCTTGATTCTTGTTAAAAAAAGCCTTTTGAGATGCTGCATCCTTGAGAAGTACTGAGGCTTCATTTTTGAATTTTATCTGTAGGAAATATTACCATGGAATTGTGTCTGTCCGTTCTCAGTGACTGTGTAGCAGGTATTATGAATGCGGTGGGCTGGGCATTAGGAAAGGTCAGGATTCTCTTATGAGCCAATACCAGTTTGAAGGGATGCTGAATTTTCACCAAAAATAGGAAGGTTGGTGATGAGATTTTTATCGGCATCCTGACATTCTCCTGGAGCTGCAGAGTGGCCGGGACTTTCTGTAGGACGGCAACTCAAAAAGGAACACTTTAGGTGCCGCCTTCTGGATTCTTGTGCTTACAGCTTGTTTTTGCCAGACAGAGTCTTTGGATGAAAGATGGAGCTATTTAGGGAGTTTCAAGATTAACATCTGGCAGCTATCATATCTCAAGATAATTTTTCTTACTAGAACAATAGGCAAGATTCATCAAAGTGGAAAAAAAGGTATGCGTTGAAATGAATACATGACATCACTCTTTGTTAAATTTGGAAACAGAAAAATAACAACTACTTTAAGTGATAATTACTAAATTTTTAGAAAGCAGCATGAAATTAGATAATTATAGAAACCAACACATATGGAGATAATATAACCAAACATTTAAAAACTGTCAATTGTTTATAAATGTAATAATGCAGAGATCATCTAGAAAACCATTTATCAAGTGGCAGGTTTGAATAGTAGAAATTTCATTTTAGAGGAAAAAAGAATCCAAACATTGTATTTATCTTAACTTTAAAAAAAGAGTATCTCAGTGTATTTCAGGGAGAGACCTTGGTTAAGTGTTTTCAAAATTTCTCTTTATGCATAGACAGCCTAGAATGCTCCGAGAAAAGCTGCCCCGCTCCCACCATCGACTGCTGTAACACAATACGCCATCCTGGGCACAGTTTCTCTCTGCGAAATGATATTCTTGGTCAAGAAGGTGGGCTATGTTCTCTCCTCCACCGGCTGTAGATTTCTCTGGTTATAGAAATTTTATGCTGACTCATGGCCCAGATCCATTCCCCCCAATTATTAAAGGAAGTGGGGAACTGCTTTTGCTGTCTGACTGCAGGGGTGCTCCTCACCCCCACCGGAGAAGGGAGAAGACCCTACGGGGTACAGGCAGGGGGCGTTCCCTTAGCGGGTCCTGAGACGTACCTCTGCACGCAGATCTGTACACAGCCATCTAGAGAGAGAGTGAAGTGATCTCCTCCTAAATATTTGCATTTTTAATTAATTAATTAATTAATTTTCAAACTGAAGTATAGTTGATTGTGTTAGTTTCAGGAGTATCTGCCTTTTTAAAATCTTACAGTAACATTTCGTAGGGTTTACTTCTTTATTCCAGCTCTAGCTAGAAGCACACATTAAAATTAATGCCAACCCCAGAGTAAAGGATACCTTAGTAAAAAAAACTTGCTTCATTTAGATTCTCTGTATCATAATTTCTGAATACTAATGAACAGTTCTATTTTAGGTTTGCAAAACACTACAACATTGATAAAGATACTGCAGTGGATTATAATGTTGTTCTGAAGAACCTCAGTACAAATAATGACTTGAACCTTAAATATTCTATGAGAAGTCAAGGTAAGTATTTTAAAGTATGATTTCAGTATCCTCTGGCGTGGTAATTCCTCGTCTGTGAATCTGTCCTAAGGAAACACTTTCAAATATGGAAAATGCATTATCCACAAAGACTGTCATGGTATCTTTATTTATAAGAATAACATAAATGCCTAACAACAGGAAAAGGGTTAAGTGAGTCACAGCCTATAGACATGGTAAGATGTGCATCCACAAGCAATGATTTCCATAAAGTTAATCATAACATGGAAAATGTATGTGGAATATCAGTAAATGATTGGAAAGAAATTCCAAAATACAGATTGTCTTTAAGTGATAAGTGGGTGTTTGATTCTTTCTGCTACTTCTGTATTTTCAAAAATTTTTGTTAATGAACATGTTACTCCTTTAACGATGGGAACAATCTTGATACAAAAGGGCAAATAGTTGAGTAGATGGTATGGTTATACCGGACATGTAAGGCTGGGCTCACGCAGGCATACAACCTTGAGAAGGAAAAACTTTCCTCGTACTGATATTCTTTATCCCAGCCTCTAGAACATAATGCCCAGAGTTGCACAGTTCTGGAGAGAGCAGGGGTCCAGTTCCTCGCGGATGGGTATATGAAAAATGCAATCGGAGAGTCTCCCTTCCAGGCCTTTGGTCATTTGAGGCAAGCAGTTTCTTGCCTCAGGGGTTTACCACGTGTGTACTGGCTCATTCAAGATGGGTTGTCACTGTCTGGTTTCAGTGCAATTCATTGCAGCAAGTATGTACTAATACCTTCTATGATTCCCAGATCTGCCTGACTAGCAAACTTAAAAATTACAAATTCTTAGATTTCAGCTCAGTTTCACTAACCAAGATAGCTTAGAGCAGACCCCAGGACTCTACTTTTCAAAGCCTTCCAAGTTTTGGGAATTACTAGACAATATGACCTTCCAAGGATGCTTTCATCCCTTACATTTTGTTAGTTCATGTGCAAGTCCCTGTACTGCTAGATCCTTCACTGGGTACAAAGCCAAGGAAAATAATCTGACTTTAAGAAGTATGTGTGCGTGTGTGTATGCGTGTGTGTTTGTATGTATGTGTGCATGTATATAATAGGACAGGTAAGACACAAAACAAGTCACATAAAAAATAACACTAAAACACATCTATTTCTTGTGCTCTGTGTAGTTACTTTTTAAACCTTAGTTTTAATTTTATTTCTCTCAACAGTTTTGTGAGGTGGGTATTATTATCCCATTTTTTTAAATGAGAAAACTTGACTCCAGGGTGCTAAATGAATTTAGCTAGGAAATGTCTTGGTGTTCAGCTTTCTGCATCAATTTTCCAGAACACAGTATACTTTCAACCTGAAAATTCAATTCTCTCTTCATTTCAAGGATTCGTTTGTTTGTTTGTTTTTTAGTAATATTGTACATCTTTTTTTTTTTTTTTTTTTGCGGTACGCGGGCCTCTCACTGTTGTGGCCTCTCCCGTTGCGGAGCACAGGCTCCGGACGCGCAGGCTCAGCGACCATGGCTCACGGGCCCAGCCGCTCCGCGGCACGTGGGATCCTCCCGGACCGGGGCACGAACCCGTGTCCCCTGCATCGGCAGGCGGACTCTCGACCACTGCGCCACCAGGGAAGCCCTGTACATCTTTGAATAAAGTTTCTGTTCCACTTTTCAGATTAACTTCAGTGATACAAACTACCCTTATGTTGAGTTGTTTTGTCTTCTCTATTGACTAAATTATCTTGAAGTGCTTTATTCTCTGTCTTTTTCCTTTGTACTCACAAGGATCATCTTAGGCCTTTTAGCTATACCTGTAATTTGATTTTCACTTTAGTCTATGCTACTCTTTGCTATGTCCACTTTATTAATTACTTCTATAATGTTGTTTCCTTTGGCCTACTATATTGTTTTCCGCTCTCATTTTATTGTTTTATCATCTTGTTGTTGAGCTCTTGTTTTAATGAATTCGTGTTCTTATTAAAATGTTCTGTAAAGTAATTTTGTGCCTTGAATTACATTTTCTTCCAAGGTGGGAGCTGTGCCTTTTTGTGTTATGCTCCTTTCCTTCCTTCTCTATCCACCAGCCCCTTCCCGCAGCTTTTTTCCTGTAGAGTTTGTGTAATTTTAAGGAATTTGGATTGATTGAGCATTTTTATTCCATTATACATCTTTAGCTAATCAGAATCTATCTTCAGATAATATTATACTAATTCACATGAATTATAGACTTCAAACAGCATTTTCTGAATTCTTCCCTCCTGTCCTTTGTTATATCGCTGTCATACATCATACTTTTACATACACTATAAACACAGGCAAGCCATGTGGTGTGGCCAAAAAACAAACAAACAAACAAAGTACAGGATATGTTGCTCAGCTTCTGTTATTCTGAGAATACCTATCTGTTCATTTCATTAGTAGTATATTTTCCTTCATATTCTCAAACACTGTTATTTAAAAAATCTAAATTTTAAAATGCTTTAAAATTTTTACCTGCTAATTTCAACATCTAGGTCATTTTAGGATTTGGTCTTTATTGATTACCTTTTTAAAAAAATATGGATCATAGTTTCCTGTGGGATTTTTTTTTTTTTTTTTTTTTTTTGCCTATGTCTAGTAATTTTGGAATTTATCCTGGATATAGTAAATTTTGCATTGTAGAGACTATGGAGTCTGTTACGTTCCTCTGAAGAATTTAAGTTTTTGTTTTAGTAGCCAGTTTACTTTAGTAGAAGACTAATCTTTGTCTTCCCTGAGGGGTCAACACATGAGATCTTTTTTCTGCTGTTTTAGCCTTAGCTGGGCTTCTTGTTTTCTGCTCTACACATCTATAGTTCCCAGTGTTAGCCAGTGATTTTGGCAGAGTTTATTCACGGGCTTTGGAGATCCTCTGCTATGCCTTTCTTTTTGTGCTTTCCCTCCTTACTTTCTAGCTGCTGTGGTAGTCCTGAATTCTCTTTTTTTGATTCCTAAAACCAGTAAGATCCTGGGTTTATATCTAAACTCTAGCCACTTAGCATAAGGTTCCAGGTGAAGCCTGCCCTCAGGCAAAAGGCCAAATAACAGGAAACTCCATCTTTCCAAGGGTTGACTCCAGTTTATGTCATTTGCTCTCCAATGCCTTCAGAGAGTTTTTTGTTTATATTTTGGCTAGAGTTTATAATTGTTATCTGCTGGGAGGTTCGCTCCAATATGAGCAAATCCACCATAACTGGAAGCAAAACTTTCAGGCTGCCCATATTAAGTTTCTTCTTGCTTCAGTTTATGCTAGTAAATTTATTTATTTATTTGCTTTGCTGATAAATAAATTTATTTTTACTATTTTTACTAATTTTTATTATTTTTTCTTTTGCTTATTTTATTAAGTACTGTAAGAAGGGAGTCTCCATTTCATTTGCAGCAGCCCATTATCTGTGACTTTTCTATACATGGGACAATATTTGTTTTCTGTGAATTTTGCATATTTCTGTTTTTGCTACTTTTGTTCTGAAGACGCCATCAAGACCTTGCTTGTCAAAAGCACCATGTCTTTGGGCACATGGAGAAATGACATTAGGGGCTGAATCCCTTTTGCTGCACCTATGAAGTACATACTTGCCCCCTTAAGTTTTGGATTTCCTCTCTACTCCATTTCAAATCAGCTAGAATCCTTCAGAGGAAATTTTGGGGCAATCGGAAGGCGGCAGGAATTATTCAGCTGCACAGAAGAGCGAAAGCTGGTCTAACTGTGATGTGAGCGGAGTCGCTGGACGTGGCTTCATCGAGTTTGTTGGCCAGCCTGCAGTAGCAGCTAGAGCGGTACGGCGGAGGAGGTCCCGCACTGGGGGTGAGCTCCCCCAGGGCGGGCCTCACGCCTCGGCCCCGCCTCCGCCCTCCACCCTGGCGTGCTGTTTACGGAGCACCAAGGGGTTTCCCTAGACGTGCTGTGTGTGTCCTCTAAGCCCCCATTAGAGTAGCAGTGCCCAGCGCAGAGTAAGTGCAGGACCAAGGCATCAGAAAGCTGGGGCTGAGACCTGCCTCACCGAGTGATACCTGCGTGGCTCCCTTGTCTCTCAGTGAGGCTCTCGCAGCTTCTATGCTCTGAGAGCCCATGTTTCAAATGCTAGGCCCTCTGAAGCCACGGAATTCCAGACTGCGTTCTAAAGGGCTGGTTTTGTATTCTATCATGTAGCCAGAGGGGGTCCACCGGGGGAGACTTACTTTTTTTCTTCTCTTTTCTTTTCTTTTTCTTCTTTTTTTTGAGGTAGGAAATAGAATTCCAGACGACTAAACTGCAGCTGAGTAGTTACAAGTGTGCTTAATTTGAGTGGAGCTTATTTGCAGACATTTTAGGAAATAAATCTGGGAAATCATTTGTGATTCTTTGCAGTTGACTTTGAGAAAGAAAATGGCTATATCTTAGATTTGTTTTATTCTCTTTTATTATAAAAGTAATAAGTGCTCGTTGCAAAAAGGCCAGAAAACACAAAAACACAAAATCACACTTCCCTATAATCCTACCACTGTATTCTTTTGGTTATTATCCTCCCAGGTTTTGTTTCTGGTGCATAGATAGATAGATGGATGGATGGATAGATAAGCAAATACGCAAAATAAGTGTTAAAATGAAAATTAAATCATGCTAGTTGTTCTTTCAATCATGAAACAATATCAAGGAAAACTTTTTGCATTCATGATTTAGACAGGCCCTTTGTTTTTAATGTCTATGAACCATAATTTATAAAACCAGTCTTCTATTAATGGGCATTTAAATTGTTCCATTTTTTTCCCTTCTTATAAACAGGACAGAACAGATCCTTACACATATGGATCTGTCCTATTATTCCATTAGTGTAAAGTTCTAGAAGGGGATTTGAGAATATTCAAGGACCACGTTTTCTGTATACAAGCCAGCACTGATTTCTTTCTTTGTCATTTGCCTTAATCCCTGCCTATTTGACAAGTAGGGAAAAATTAACTTGTGTTAATTAGACCTTTTAAATTACCAATGAGTTTGAGCAGTTTTTCATACGTTTCTTGGCTTTCTAAAAAACCTTTTTTAATGTGAATTACCTGTTTAAACCTTAGTCTGTTGTGTGATTGGGGATTTATGTTATCCTTTTGATTCTTAAGAGCTACTCATATATTGAGCAAATTAACCTGCATTTCTCACATCTATTAACAATAGTTTTTCCCACTCGTTTTTCTTTCATTGTTATTTGTGTATTTTTTTAACAAACAAAAATTAAATATTTATATTGTCAGACCTATCCATTATTTAAATGATTTCTAGCTCTAATGTGTTCTTTGGAAGGAACTTTTCACATAGTGATTATGTATTACACGTATTATGTATATTCATCTTAATTTTCTTCCACTACTTTTATGGTTTTATTAGTCTGTTTAGTATATATTTACTCTATCCAGATTTAGCCTAGATAAGGTAGCAAGTAGATTAATTTTATTTTTTTCTAATGTCCGTCCAGTTATTTCAACAGCACTTATTATATAGTTCATGTTTTTGGTTTATTTGAGTCTTAATTTTTACCAGACAGGTGATGATGAAAAGGAAACACTTAATATTCAAATGTACGTTTGACAGTCTTCATAAACTGGAGTTCTTTTGTCTTAATAGAGGTCCCATGGGAGGACCAACGAGTCAAAAGTTCCAAAAGAGATTACCTCCCCAGTCCTGTTTCATCTGAAGATATCTGGAAAAACTGCTCCTTAGATGAAATTGAGAGGACCTTTTGCCAAGAGGTAAGAATGTTCTCCTAGTGCCAGGGTTATCTAAAATGTGAACAGAGAGAGTAGATGGCTGTGGAAGACCATTAGGTCTAGACGTTATTTCTAAACTGCTTTGAACCACCTCTGCTTCCTCAAGCCCTGGGACCTCCTCCAGCTTCTCGTAACAACAATGCATGGATGATGGTAACGATGATGAGACATTAAGTACTTCCTTGGTGCTACTCACACACTAAATGTAATAAGAAAAATTTAAGACTTATATAACGACATGATATATATATATGTTTTTTTTTTTCTTTTGAAAAGTTACAATAGAGGGCTTATCCTATCACATATAAAATATTTTTAAAGGTATAATAATTAAAACATTATGACAGTGGTGCAGCAGTGAACATTCAAATTGATTTAAAACAGTAGTTGGGTAGTGGGCCAGTCTTGATATGTGAATTTAGCATATGATGTGAGGCATTCCAATAAAGTATGGTGGGGACGAGGGAGGAGAAGATTCAGTAATTATTACTGGGATAATTCGCTAGCCAGCCATGTGGGGAAGAAAGCTTGGAACCTTCCACTCTCCACACCAAAATAAATTCGGTATGCCCCCACTATTTAAATTTAAAAATAAATAATCTAGGTGAAAATTTTTAATCTTGAAATTTAGACTTTTAAGCATGAAGTAAAGCCCCAAAGCCATAAAGAAAAAGACTGATAAATTTGACTATATTAAAATGAAAAAGTATTTGTACAGCAAAACTTTGTACAAACAAATGATAAACTTGGCAAATCATGTGCCACGTAAATGACAGATAAATAATAACTGTTCCTAACATACGTAGAACTTTTATAAATTATTAATATAAAACTTTCAGTAGAAAATCATCAATGCAGAAAAAATTAACAGAAGCCAATATTGATAAGGGCGTTAGGGGGGGAACGCATGAATATTCTGTTGGTAAATCGGTAAAACTGGTTTTCTCTTGTTGTTGTTAATGAATTATTGTTTTTATGAAAACATGACCATTCCAAAAAACGTAAGCAATTCTGAAAAGTATAAAGAAGAAAGTAATAAATTATTCAAAATCCACCACCCAGAAATAATCAAAGGCAACATTTGGTGAACATAATTCTAGGCCTGTCTTTATTCTATGTATAGAAGGATTGCTGCATCGGCAGGTGGGTGGGTGGATACATAGATAGAAATAATTTTATAGGAAGAGAATCATGCTCCTTTTTACAAATAAATCATATTTAATTTAAATTTCTTTTAATTTACCAGAAGTAAAAAAATAAATCATCATCATCACCCTCATAATTAACCCTTTTATGGGGCTGCCTCTGTGCCAGACAGTGTTGTAAGCGCCCCTCAGGTGTTCAGTCCTCACGGCAACTCCAGGAGTTAAGCACCATTGTCATCCCGGGTTCAAGATGAGGAACCTGAAGCACGAGGAGGCTTAATGACCTGCCCCAGGTTACCCCGCCAGAAAGTCCTGGGGCCCAGTCTGAACCCCGGGTGCTCCACATGATATAATGTCCTCAAGTGAAGCCAAAGATATTTCTGAACTTTGGATAAATATTTCTTTACCACAAGAGATACCAGGTCCCAAAAAGAGTTTTGAGACAAAAAAAGAGATTAAGAAAGCCGTGAAGAGTTGGAGAAGTGATGGTGTTTTGAAGGATGTCTCAGTTACAGTCAGCGCAGGCTGGCTATGAAACTCCTTGTGATTGGCACTTCCTGTGTTTCTTCCCAGCCCCTCCCACCTCACAATTTTTGCTGTTTATATTTTGTTCTCAGTCAGAGTTTATAATATTTACATTTTGTTCTCCTACTGTAATTCCCCCAGTTGTTTTGCCTGTGTTTTATATTTACATGGATTTAATGCACGTCGCTCTACTCCAGTGCTACCATAGCTTATCCCTTTCAGAGTTCTTTATTTTGATTTATTCTTTGGTTGGCTGGATTTCATTGTCAAGTAATTCCCTCAAGAAAGGCTCATGGGTGCTTTATTCCTTTTGTTTTTTCATACTATCTCTCCCTTTTTTTTTATTAGAACAACAACGTAGCTGGGTATAATTCTTCCATCATTCTTTCTTTTCCTCAAAATGTTGTTTTTCTACATTGCCTTCTGGCATTGGGTGTTCTTGAGAAGAATCCTGAGGTCGACTGATTTTTTCCCCCTTGTAGATAATTTTTTATTCTACCAGGATGCCTAAACTATTTTTTCTTAATCCTTGAAATTAAAAAGCAAAACGAAGACTGTCTTGGCATGGAGCATTTTGCCAAAGTTTCCTGGAACACAGTATATTCTTTTGACGTACAGATTTAGTTCACTTCAGGAAAATTTTCCCTGTGTCACATCACTAAAACCTTCTCCCTGCATCCTTCTCTCCCTCCCTTCTGTCTTCCTTCCATCTTTCCTTCCTTCAGTGGTATCCTCAGTTATCCTTATATTGGATCATCTTTGTCTATCCTTGATGGTAATTATCTTCTCTCAAAATGCCATACTTTTTTTTTTTTTTTTTTTTTTTTTTGCGGTACGCGGGCCTCTCACTGTTGTGGCCTCTCCCGTTGCGGAGCACAGGCTCCGGACGTGCAGGCTCAGCAGCCATGGCTCACGGGCCTAGCCGCTCCGCGGCATGTGGGATCTTCCCGTACCGGGGCACGAACGCGTGTCCCCTGCATCAGCAGGCGGACTCTCAGCCACTGCGCCACCAGGGAAACCCAAAATGCCATAATACTTTTGTCCTTTTCCTCCGCCTTATTGGGAATCTTTCAAGCCATTGTTTTTTTTCTTTTTTTTTTTTGACCACACCTTACGGCTTACAGGATCTTAATTCCCCGACCAGAGATGGAACCCAGGGCCCTGGCAGTGAGAGTGCTGAGTCCTAACCACGGGACTGCCAGGGAATTCCCAAGCCATTCCTTTACTATTAATTTTAATTTCAGCCTTGTCTTTTATTCTTGCTGTTTCTAATTTGTTATTAGTTCCTGTAATGATGTTGTTTTTTTTTTCTATTTTCTTAGCTTTGAAATATCCTTCTACTCTCTTTCATGGTTTGTTTTTTTTTTCTTTCTTTCATTGTTTTATCATCTTGTCTTCAAGCTTTTCTTTTAATGAATTTATATTCTTATTTAGTTCCTTTTTATAGTATGAAAGCTTTGCTGGTGAGAGATATATATATATATTTTTATATATATATATATATATATATTTTTTTTTTTTGTATCCTGTTCTCCTACAGATTGGGTTCTTTGTCTTTTGCTTGATGTTCGTTTGTTTCTTTCTTTTTCTGTAGTGTGTTTGCATAGTTGTAAAACCATTTATTTTCATCCTGCTTGTGCTTAGGTTGAGATCCACTCATATTATGGAGGTAGCTGTATTTTCATTTTCACTGCTGTACAGTTCTCCATTAGCTATATATATGCACAGATAATGCGCTGCCCAGGGATGGGCATTGGATTGCTCCCTGTTTTGTGCTCATCCGAACGATGCCACCATAAGTGGTTGGCTCCGTATCTTCTGGTGCATGCCTGCTAAGGTGTCTCTGAATTACACCCAGCATTCCTTGCTAGGTTGTAGGGAGCATGCTCCTCAGCTTTCATTGGCAGTATCCAGTTATTTTTCAGAATACCAATTCACACTCCCATTGGGAGCATATGAGAATTCCTGTTGTCCAATGTACCCACCAGCTCTTGATATCATTAGAGTTGTCCATTTTTACCAGTCTGATGCGGATTAAATGGCATTTCAGCTATAATTTAAATTTTGTTTCTCTTTTTACTGATGTGTCAGATAGCTCCTTACATTTTACAACCTTTCTTTAGAACATTTTTGGTAAAAATGTATCCATTTTTAACAAATATTTATTGAGTGCCTACCACATGCCGAATTGTGCTTCATTTTAGATAATTATTAGCGAACAAAACAGGGCACAATCTTGGCTCTCATGGAGATTGCATGACCTTACATCAGGGAGAGAGATGTTAAACAAATACACGTCCATAACTACCATTTTCCTAGAGTGGTATGACAGAAAAGGACGGGGTATTATAGGAGAGAATAACAAGGGGAGCCTCACTTAGATTGGGGGTCAGGGGAACATTTATAAGACGCAAGTGTTTAAACATGGGAAATGGGTGTGCCTTTCGCTCGTCCGTCCCTAACATGACGGCTGCCCTGTATCATCTCCAAAGTGTGATGCAGATACACACTAGTTCTTGTGGGAAAAGTTTCATGACATGTCATTAAATGAAAAAAGCATTTGTCAAAACTGAAAGTGTAGTATGGTCCCATTTTTGTAAAATTATAATATATGTTTATGTGATCATGTTGGAGTTTTTGGAACACCATATAAAAACCTGTGGGTAGTGAGACTTCCGGTATCTTTATGTCCTTTTTTATACTTTGCTGAATTGCTTGCATGTTTTTGTTTGTTTCATTATAAACAGTAATGATGAAAATTCCTAAAAAGTTTTACGTGTCGCAAAGACATTACTTCTGGGGACTTCCCTGGCGGCCCAGTGGTAAAGACTTCACCTTCCAATGCAGAGGGTGCAGGTTCAATCAGATCCCTCGATCCCTGGTCAGGGAGCTAAGATCCCACATGCCTCCGGGGCCAAAAAAACCAAAACATGAAACAGAAGCAGTATTGTAACAAATTCAATAAAGTCTTAAAAAAAAAAAAACCAGAAAAACAAAGACATTACTTTTGTTTCATTCCTGCTTTTCTTCTAAGAGCTCTGGATTATGTCAAAACACTCTCCTGAAAAAAGCCTGATTGGAGACTAAACGCCATTAAGATATTAAAAGCAGGTTTCATTAATCCAATAAATATACTGAGACCAGACTCCGTGTCTGGCTTTGGCTTCCCTGCACTAGAGGCTTCCCCCAGGCAGCCCACCTCCCCGAGAGAGAGATGGGCACATTTAGCCACATTTTGGGTTAATCTTATGCAACTTTCTAAGAAGCTGAGGCCCTGTAAGTCTCTAGATTCTTTTCAAGATTTCCCCTTAG